TTTCTCGATTAAAAAGCTTATTTTCAGTCAATATCGTGTAACAAAATAAAGAAATTTTTTTAGATATTCCTTGAAAGAACAATTTGTTGTCAAATCAATTAATTACATAATTACTTAGTTAATTTATAGTGGTTTTTCACAAAAATACAAAGACTAAATTGATTGCAATGCAATCTTGACTTAGCTCAAACCTCTTACTTCATTTTTTTTTACAAATACAACAATGATATCTTATGTAAAATCATTAAAGAAATACCACTAAGCGAACTCTTTTTCCGGTTTGCGACTTTACTACTGTGTTCGAAAATAATCAACTTTTTGGATTTGTAAATATGTGAATCCCCGAAGAATCGTAAAAATGATCGATCAACAGGTTAAAATGCTCTACGACGAATAGTTTTCAAGACATTGAACAGTTTTAAGCGTTTCCGGGCGCTAATTACTTAAAAAAAGATCGATATTTCAGATTTTTGGTTTTCAAATTATACTTTTTTTATTTTAAAAAGTCGGAAATCTAAAAACTCGACTCCAGGTTTCTGCTATTCCATAGTTAATTAAAATCAGATTTCGCCAATATTATTAAAATTTTGTTTTTTTTTTTGATAAATATGTCTCGCAGAAGAACAATTTTTTCGATAAGATAGGAATTTAAAAGTTCTTTTCAAGGGTATCAGACAAAAAGTTTCAAAATCGGATCAACTGACGTTTTCTGCACTTTCAGGGCCCCTAAGCACCTAGAAAACACATTTCAGTCCATTTTTATTATCAAAACTTTTTTAAGAATTATTAAAGTTGAATTAGAGTGCTGAAATCAGCAATTTTTCAGTAGAAAAAATCAAGGTCACGCGACATACGTTGTCAAAGAGTGTACAAATGGTGTCTAACGTTACACCAAAAACTGTCAATTTCTCGATTATTTTCAGTCACAGCAAGCATTTATGGCCTGACTCAAGCCTACAGAATGGAAGCCATCTACTTGATTCGCTTAAACGGCAACACCAAACGTTTCGTCACTCTTTCAGACGTCGTCGTTGTCATATTTCCTTGCATTATCGGTGTTGCAGTAACATCGTACAAAATCGACAACTCCCTAAAATATTTCAATTATTTGAGACAAGTAAAACCCAAACAACGCAAAATAAAATTTTGAACAATTCCATTCCAGTTTGACTGTTACCTCCAAAAACAACCACGGAAAACAAGAAAATCATTCTTGGTCCCATTCGTAACAATCCTCTTCACTGTTTTCATCCTAATCTTCGATGCTATGATGTGGCTTAAGTTAATTGCCCGAAGTCAGAGCATTTTCATCCTAACACTCCCCTATTACGTCTGTTATTGCTTCACGATGATTATCGAAATCATTTACTGGCAGTTTGTCCACTCGATCAAAATCAGATTAGTTTTATTGAACGAAAAACTAGCACAGTTTTGTCGCAACGATCATTTGATTGTCCGAATTGACCGGAAGAAAATCAACAGTGTTGTGGACACTCTCAATGTGGAAACTTTGAAAAAACACGACCCGCAAACAAACGACCAAATCCGGGATTTAATCAACGCTTATCAGAAATTAACCGAAGCCGCAAATCTAGTCAACGACGCTTTCGGCCTCCTGATACTGGTAATGCCCCCATAATTACCCAATTAAATTAACTGCTTTGTTCCAGATTGTTATCACGGGTTGTTTGGTACACTTATTAGTCACCCCTTATAGCCTCTATGTCATTGTATTAACCACAGGTAAAAAAAAACTTGCTTGTCTACTTTCAAAACTTTATAATTTCATTCATGTACTTTGTTTTTTCTATGTATTGTCATACGAATATACAGGGTGTTCGGTCTAAACCCCACATTAAAAGTATTGGGAGTTCAAAAAATCGTATTTATTTGAAAATTGGTACATAGCCATAATCCATTAAGTCCTCCTAAATGAAAATATTTTCAAGTTGGCGGCACTTCCGGTTATACCGGAAGTCGGTCTCAACTTTCTTATTTTAAATGGAGAACTATATTTTTTACTGCGTTTTTGGATTACGGGTTATTTTAAGGGAGTTTTCATTAGCTTTCCCTATACCCAAATTTAGCCGTTTTTGAAATATTTGGAGTTTTTCAAACATTTTTGGATCTGCACCTTCCACTTCAAAAATCGATAACTCTGCTATTTTGTAAAATTTTGAATTTTTTTGGCGTTGGAAAGAGAAAGTTTAAATCTTTCTTCCGGTGTTTTCAAATTTTGAAAAAAAAATTGACAAACTCTAAAATTTTAAGGTTACTTTTGTAATAATTCAAATACCCATAACTCAATTTTTCCGAATGAAATACCCCAATTTTTATTCTACCAAATAGAAGAGAATTTAATTGTGCATCGATCTGTATTAACATTCCTATACCAAAATTTAATAATTTTTAAGTTATGATGACTTTTTGTTAAGATTGCCGAAAATCTATTACTAGCCACATCCGTTTTCGTATAGTTTGTTATGGAAATCAAAAATGTCAAAATTGTTTCTCAATAAACGTCGACAGTGACTTATTATTTGACAAATAGTGCCAAAATATGGAGAGTCAAAGCTACTGAAACTTAGATTTAATTAATTTATTTTGTATTTATGGAAAGTGTAACAAAATTATGATGTCGTTCATTAAACAAAAATAAATATTTCTAACTTGTTAGCTTTAAATAATGATTGCATGGTAGAACCTATCAATAATAATTAAGTTTTGTATAATTTTGATTCTTCATATTATAAGTGAAAGGTGCATATCCAAAAATTTTTGAAAAACTCCAAATATTTCAAAAACGGCTAAATTTAGGTATAGGGAAAGCTGATGAAGACTCCCTTAGAATAACCCAATTAATCCAAAAAAGCAGTAAAAAATATACCTTTCCATTTAAAATAAGAAAGTTGAGACCGACTTCCGGTATAAGCGGAAGTGCCACCCTCTTGAAAATACTTTAATTTAGGAGGACTTAATGGTTTATGGCTATGTACCAATTTTCAATTAAATACGATTATTCAAACTCCCAATACTTCTAATGTAGGGTTTAGGCGGAACCCCCTGTATATATACCAGGTGAATAAAAAGTATGGAACCAAACGTTTTTTGCTTAAACTATTAATTTTTTGGAAAAACTAATTGATGAACGATAAAGTACTTTAAAGATGTGATGTTTTATCAAGAATAAAATTTTTCGAAATTTTCTTTTGTTTTTGAGTTCTACAAAAAAAAATATTTTTTTAAATAGCACCCCACTATAAAACTATTTTTCTCATAAAGGTTATGATCTAAGGATTACAACTATCTACTTCACATTTAATTTTTTCAAAAAATTTTTTTTTCATAAATTGCAATTTTGACTAAAAAAAATCGCATAACTCGATCTCGATCTCGAAATAGGATCTCATTTTTTATATTACGTTAATTTATATTAATTACAAATGATTTAAGAAAAAAACCGCTTGGTTCCATACTTTATATTCACCCTGTATATATAACCACAGGTAACACAATGTTTATCATAACACAATCAATCTGGATGACGGGTCATGTCTTGCGTTTGTTGTTGATTGTGGAACCTTGTCATGGATGTATTCTTGCGGTAAGTTTATTTATTTATTAAAATGGGAAAAAAGTGTTTTGTTAGGCGAAAACAACGTCACAGTTGGTTTGTAAATTGTTGTGTCTGGATTTGGATAAGGAAGTGAAGAAATCTTTGGAGTTTTTTATGGCCTATTTGGCCGAATGTCAAATCAAATTCACAGCTTATGGGTTTACGAAGTTGCACAGAGGGTTGCTCACCACGGTTTGTTAAAGTGTAATAAAAATTGTGATTTATTGCAAAGTTTCAGATTACTGGAGCTGTTACCACCTATTTGGTTATTTTGTTTCAATTTAATCAATAATTTTTTTGGTGGATGCGCCGGGTCAATCCAATGATTATTTACTCCCCTGAAATAAAAATAAATAATGCAAATTGTTCACGTTTTTGATGGTTATGAGGTGGGTTTTATAGCCAAGTGTGCAATTATGGGAGGAAAGTCGTCGACAAGAAGCCATTTTGTTGGTTTTTATGAGAAAATCAATCACTGATTAAGTGTTTAGTGCTATTTATGAATTTTTGATAAGCCCAAATATGAAAAATAAACATTAAATGGGAAGCAGTTTTTATTACCGTGTTTTTCTAGGCTAATTATTAATTAAGTCCACAAAGTGTAAATTTAAATACCGCGTGCTCTTGCATTTTAAACACTACTTTAGCACAACATTAGATGTTAAAAGTGTTATTTACAGTAAATTAAAATTGGAGTTTATGCAAATTTAAAATAAGATATTAGTCATAATTAACCCAGGAAAAATGCTCATATTTTTCCATATTTTTCTTTTCTGTGGTAGTAACTGAAAGTAAAGTAAAAACAACAAATTGAAGCACTTTCAAGTGAAAAACATAATGAGTAAATATTGTGTAACAAAATATAAAAAATGTATACAGGGTGTTAAAAAAAGATTGTATGGTATGGACCAAAATAAACAAAAAAGCCTTAATAAAAAAAGTAACGGTTTCAGAGATATCGAATGTGAAACTTTTTAGAATTTGCACTAGAAGCTTCTGTTTTTTGTTTGAACAAACTGAAAATGCATGTTTCAAAAAACGAATAATTTTTGATATCTCCGAAACCCTTACTTTGCAGCCCCATGTTTATTAAGACTTTTTTGTTTGTTTTGGTCTATACTATTACTTCCTGAAATATTTTACAATCTTTTTTTAACACCCTGTATATCTAACGCACAAAACAAACAAAAAAAGTGAGAAAATTAATGACATATTGTGGGCTACTACTATAAAAAAAATATTTTGTACTTAATGTTAAAGAGTGCTTTTATCAACTAATTTCAGTAGATAAAGTAGTCTTTTATCGTCTTGTAAAATAAAATAATTTTTATCTACTGTTTATATTTTATCAACTGATTTCAGTAAATAAAGTAGTCTTTTATCGTCTAGTGAAATAAAGTAATTTTTATCTACTGTTAATATTCAAGAAATTCTGGTAGGTGAGTACAAAATAAAACGAAATAGTATACAGGACGATAAAGTCGTGAAAAAGTCCACTCGTGACTTTGTCACTCGTAAACTTAACCTTTTCACTCATAGATAAACAATTTCTTTATCGTCTTGTATAATAAATAACTGATTTTTGTGGAAAACAGTTTTATGATAACATAAACAATTAATTTCTGTTTCTTTTTTTCTCCTTTCCAATTTTTTTTCTTTAAATTTTTAATTTCCTTATAAGTTCTTCTACTCGTGCTAAACCTCTTTGTCCTTTCGAATTCCCATTTTTTACGTTCTTCCATCTATAATTTTACCCAATTTATCAATATGATCTTTTTTCTATTTCTTCATTTCTTCTTTCACAAAATTTCTCCCTACGTATATTCTTCACTTAATTAGTGTTATTTTTCTTTTCAAACAATTTCTTCTTGTTCTCTTTCTTTATACTCAAAATTGATTCTTTCTTCTTGTTCAGTTTTTCTCTAAATCCGTTCTCTCTATTTTTGTGCTTCTTTTCATCTTTTGCTTTTTTTTACAACGTTTTTACTTTTTATTTAAAGTGAAAAAAAATATTCTATTTTTTTGTTGTTTCTTGTTTTTTCTTTCTACTCTACTTTCTTATATTCTTCATATTTAAGTACTTATTCTTCTACCTCTTTCTTTTTCTTTTACTGAACTTCTTTTTTGTTTCATTATTTTTCTTTTTATTCTTTCTATTCTTCCGTCTAATATATTTCCTAATTTATAATATGGACTTTTTCCTATTTCTTCTTGCTTAAAATTTCTCCCTTCTCTTAATTAATGTTATTTTCTCTTGTTCTCTTTCTCTCTTCTCAAAACTTTGCCTTTCTTAGTTTTCAGTTTTTCTCTAAATTATTTTTTTTGTGTTTGTCTTGCTTCTATTCCATGCAATAAATGTTTCCGAAACCATTACTTTACGAAACTTTTCTGTTTGTTTTGATCCATACTATTACCTCCTAAAATATTTTACAATCTTTTTTAAACACCCTGTATTTCTTATAAGGACCATTTATTTTTCAATTAATTAGTTAATTTATAGTAATTTTTTCCAAAAATACAAAAGCTAAAATTTTTGTAGCTCATTCAATATATTTTTTTTGAGAGAAGTTTGCATCTTAACTTAGCTAGTTCGCAAACCTCTAACTCACTTTTTCCTGTTTAAAATGTTATTTAATTGTAGTTTTTTCTGCACATATTAGTGATTTTCCCGATAAATAACCTCGCAGACCGCCGATTTTTTTTATGTGGTAGGAAATTCAAACTGTTCAAATCTTTGAAAAAATCGAAAAAATCTAAAGATTCAAAATCGCATCAAATGAGGTTTTTTGCACTTTAGGGCTCCTCGAGATCCGGAAAAATACATAAATCACGATTTTTTTTAAAAATTGTCGAGCAAGAAATAAGGTTTTCTGTTTTTTTGAATTCATTTCACTTAAGTATTAAAAGTCTGAGAGCTGAAACCTTGTAGTTAGCATAAACCAATAAAGTTTCTCCTCGCAAACGCATTCAAATTGAACCCATTTTAAATAACCAACTTAGCGAGAAAACACCGTGATGGCTTAAACAAACCAAACTTTTTTCCGTTAAAACTCCATTAAAACAACACCATTCCCCACGAGAACCTTTTATCTCATCCGAATTACAAATTCAGCTCATTTTCTCATTTTTTTGGCCAAATATTGACCCCTCTTTAATTAACTCATCACCGGCTTGTCTACAATCAAATCCAATGAGTCACTCATTGTAAACACTCTTATGAATGGAAAAATCGATATAAACATCCAGGAAAAGCGTCGAGAGGGCGCTAGCGTGTATATTTTCCATCGACCACGCCAGTTTTCCCTCAGAAGCGGGTCGTCGAGGCGCCGTGTAGACGCTGCTTCAGGTACTTCAGCCTTGAGACGAGTTAGGAGTGATTAAGGCTTGATTAGGTGTAGGTGGAAAGAAGGTTTAGTTTGCTGGTTTTTGTGTTGAAAACGGGACGAAAATGGTTTATTTGCCGCTGATTGTGGCCATTTCGTTGGTGGCTTTTGGTTACTCCCAAGACATCGAGCTGCAGACCTCCTCGTACTCTCCGAGATGTAAGCGATTTTGCAAAAATCTTCTTTCAACTCTCCTATTTTATTTTCCCTCAAAAAACGTAAAAAAAATTTGCAATTCCAAAATTTTTCTCCCGAATTTAATATACCAGGTGAATAAGTTTTTTTTTTAACAATTTTTTTTTCAAATAGTGTAATTTTTGGACTAAATTCTCTACAAGTAATAGAAAAGTAGATTTTATCTGCAAACGTCACCACCTTCATGACTAAATGTTAAAACCTTTACCTTTCAGCCATGGAATAAAAATTCCATTTTTGCGCCTAAGCGTTTTTACTTTTACGATACAAATATTGACATTTACCAATGTCTCTTTCAATGCTTTAGCAATTTCTTTAGTGGTACATTGTAGATCATCAACATTCGACATTTTACACTACTAACTGCACTAGTTAAATTAATAAACACTTTGGAAAATCTCAACAAAAATTTCAATATATGTATTAT